AGCAGACGCTTTTATCCAAAGCGACTTACAGTCATGAGTGCATACATTTTTTTGTATATGGGTGGTCCCGGGGATCGAACCCACTACCTTGGCGTTACAAGCGCCGTGCTCTACCAGCTGAGCTACAGAGGACCACATTTAGTACTTGGTGGCAAAACCCTTGGTGGCAATCACAGAGGTCAGACGTTTCTTGTAGTTGGCCACCAGGTTTGCACACATCTCAGGAGGGATTTTGTCCCATTCCTCTTTGCAGATCTTCTCCAAGTCATTAAGGTTTTGAGGCTGACGTTTGGCAACTCGAACCTTCAGCTCCCTCCACAGATTTTCTATGGGATTAAGGTCTGGAGACTGGCTAGGCCACTCCAGGACCTTAATGTGCTTCTTCTTGAGCCACTCCTTTGTTGCCTTGGCCGTCTGTTTTGGGTCATTGTCATGCTGGAATACCCATCCACGACCCATTTTCAATGCCCTGGCTGAGGGAAGGAGGTTCTCACCCAAGATTTGACGGTACGTGGCCCCGTCCATCGTCCTTTTGATGCAGTGAAGTTGTCATGTCCCCTTAGCAGAAAAACACCCCCAAAGCATAATGTTTCCACCTCCATGTTTGACGGTGGGGATGGTGTTCTTGGGGTCATAGGCAGCATTCCTCCTCCTCCAAACACGGCAAGTTGAGTTGATGCCAAAGAGCTCGATTTTGGTCTCATCTGACCACAACACTTTCACCCAGTTCTCCTCTGAATCATTCAGATGTTCATTGGCAAACTTCAGACGGCCCTGTATATGTGCTTTCTTGAGCAGGGGGACCTTGCGGGCGCTGCAGGATGTCAGTCCTTCACGACGAAGTGTGTTTCCAATTGTTTTCTTGGTGACTATGGTCCCAACTGCCTTGAGATCATTGACAAGATCCTCCCGTGTAGTTCTGGGCTGATTCCTCACCGTTCTCATGATCATTGCAACTCCACGAGGTGAGATCTTGCATGGAGCCCCAGGCCGAGGGAGATTGACAGATCTTTTGTGTTTCTTCCATTTGCGAATAATCGCACCAACTGTTGTCACCTTCCCACCAAGCTGCTTGGCGGTGGTCTTGTAGCCCATTCCAGCCTTGTGTAGGTCTACAATCTTGTCCCTGACATCCTTGGAGAGCTCTTTGGTCTTGGCCATGGTAGAGAGTTTGGAATCTGATTGATTGATGGCTTCTGTGGACAGGTTTCTTTTACACAGGTAACAAGCTGACATTAGGAGCACTCCCTATAAGAGTGTGCTCCTAATCTCAGCTCGTTACCTGTATAAAAGACACCTAGGAGACAGAAATCTTTCTGATTGAGAGGGGGTCAAATACTTATTTCCCTCATTAAAATGCAAATCAATTTATAACATTTTTGACATGCGATTTCCTGGATTTTTTTGTTGTTATTCTGTGTCTCACTGTTCAAATAAACCTACCATTAAAATTATAGACTGATAATTTCTTTGTCAGTGAGCAAACTTACAAAATCAGCAGGGGATCAAATACTTTTTTCCCCTCACTGTAGAAGGGGCTGTGCACGCACACTTGTGGGGCCCCAGCGTTAAGGATCAGCGTAGTGGAGGTTTTGTTTACTACCTTCACCACCTGTGGGCGGCCCGTCAGGAAGTCCAGGACCCAGTTGCACAGGGCGAGGTTCAGACCCAGGGCCCTGAGCTTAATGATGAGCTTGGAGGGTACTATGTTTTGAAGGCTAAGCTATAGTCAATTAACAGCATTCTTACATAGGTATTCCTGTTGTCCAGATGGGATAGGGCAGTGCGATGGTGATTGCATTGTCTATTGGGGCGGTATGCAAAGGTGTCTAGGGTGTTGGGTAAGGTGGAGGTGATATCATCCTTAACTAGCTTCTCAAAGCACTTCATGATGACAGAAGTGAGTACTACGGGGCGATTGTCATTTAGTTCAGCTTTCTTTGGTACATGAACAATGGTGGACATCTTGAAGCAAGTGGGGACAGCAGGCTGGAATAGGGAGAGATTTAATATGTCCGTAAACACTCCAGCCAACTGGTCTGCGCATGCTCTGAGGACGTGGCTAGGGTTGCCATCTGGGCCGGCAGCCTTGCGAGGGTTAACACGCTTAAATGTCTTACTCACGTTGGCCATGGAGAACAGTCCTCGGGAGCGGCGGGTGCGCAGTGTTATCCTTAAAGCGAGCGAAGAAGGTGTTTTAGCTTGTCCGGGAGCAGGACATCTGTGTCCGACGTGACAGGTTTTTCTTTTGTAATCCATGATTGTCTAGAGTTCCTGCCACTTACGTTTCGTGTCTGAGCCGTTGAATTGCGACTCCACTTTGTCTCTGTACTGACGTTTTGCTTGTTTGATTGCTCAGATGCAACCCGGAACATATCCCAATCCGCTTGATCAAAACAATCTTGAAGCATGAATTCCGTTTGGTCAGACCAGCGTTGGAAAACCTTAGCACGGGTACTTCCAGTTTGAGGTTCTGCCTATAGGAAGGGAGGAGCAGAATGGGAGGGCGGTGGAGGGCCTTGTAGCCATCCCGGAAAGGTACTACAGGTAATGTGTTGATAGATCTTCGGTAGCTTTTCCTCATATTTGCTTTGTTAAAGTCCCCAGCTACAATAAATGCGGCTTTAGAATATGTGGTTTCCAGTTTGCACAAAGTCCAGTGTAGTTCCTTGAGGGCCATCGTGGTATCGGCTTGAAGGGGAATATAGACGGCTTTGACGATTACCGAAGATCATTGTTTTTGGTGGTAATACGATCTGCATTTGATTGTGCGATATTCTATGTTGTGTGAACAAAGGACTTCCTGTACGTTACCACAATCACACCATGAGTAGTTAATCATGAAACATACACCACCGCCTTTCTTCTTCCCGGAGAGTTCTTTATTCCTGTCTGCACGATGTACTGAGATCCCGGCTGGCTGTATGGACTGGGACAGTATAGCCTAAGAGAGCCACTATTCTGTGAACGAGTATGTTACAGTCCCTGATGTCTTTCTGGAAGGAGACCCTCGTCCTGAGCTAGTCTACTTTATTTTCCAGGGACTGAACATTAGCGAGTAATATACTCGAAAGTGGTGGATGGTGTGCACATCTCTAGAAGTCCGCTCCGAATACCTCTTCTCCGCTGGCGGCGTCTTGGAGCAGCCTCTGGGATAAGTTCAATTGCCTTAGGAGGTACGAACAAAGGATCCTGGATCCTGGCGTTACCGCGTTCTGATATCCAAAAGTTATTTCCGCCTGTATGTAATAACACAAAAAAACATTCTGGGCTATTAATGTAATAAATGACACATACAAAAAATATACTGCAAAGTTGCTTAGGAGCTAGAAACAAAGCTGCCATGTCTATAGGCACCATCTTGTAAGATATTTCCTATCTTTGGGGTAATTAATAAAGTTAAAAACGTTTATATTAGGCTAGTTGATCTGTCTGAGAAAATAGTTTGTTTACCTGAGTGTAACGCAGGTCAACTAATGTTGAATACTTATTGTTGCTAGTGAGATTCCAGTAACCTATTATATTATATTGTGTTATGGATTAAAAGTTGACCGCTATTACAAATCAGCTGTCAGAAGCTGCATGACGAGCAGTTTATGTTGAGCCAATCAAAACTCAATATTTTATCTTAGTCCCTCTCCTAATCTCACATTCTACACCAGTGGGTGCCAACATGTTAAAAAAGGAGCTAGAACGGAACGTGACGAGCTACCGCCATTCTATGGAAGAAAAACTATGTTTGAAATCATTGTGAGAAGTTGTATAACACTGAACTAAAAAAAGAAAAACGGATAATAACTCACTTATCTATCCGAACGTGCTGTGAAGGGGTTGAGGGAAAGATTGACACCAGGATTTAGTGAGTTTTCATAAGGAGAACGAGCTGCTAGCGGTTAGGCTAGCTAAGCTATTGCTAGCATTTTGTGCGTGTTCATGCTGAACCAAGCATACGCACAAGCCTTTAACTTTTAGGCTAGCTCAGCTATCGATCAATTGAAATAGGTAAACATTAGTGATCATGCTAATCATGCATGGCGAACTATTTCAGTTTTCATACTTTTATAAAATGGGATTATCTGTTATCATAATCCATTTTGGTAAACAGTTATGTTTTAAATTACTTTTATAAGAAATGGTGTATAGGTGTAAGCACTAGTACTTTCCATTTGCCCAGTATATAGTCTATTGTTCAGTCCACGTGAGCCTGGTGTTGTAGTTAAAATGTTAAGCATTTTGACCAATTTTTATTTTCTTATTCCTGTAAGAGATTAAAGCTAAGAGCTATATTAATGTTTATATGAAAGGTACTCATGGTATATATATTGTGTGATCCTGTTTGTAAAACAGGTAAGGTTTTTTGAGTATGAATTCAGTTCCCAGGACATCCGTAAGAAGATTTGCTGCAAAGATTTATTTGTCCTTTTCCTTGGAGGATACTGAATTTGCGCTGCCATGTGGTAGAACTGTCATACGCACATACAACATTTAAACTCCTTAGTGTTTATTAAAAACATGGGGGATTGGAAGTGATGCAGACAATTACATTGATGGAAGTTACAATCTATCTGCAATATTAAGCTGATCTACCCCTTTAAAAAAGGGCCTTACCCCCAATTCATCTCCTTAATGCTGAGTGCCAAGCAGAGAGGGTCCGATGTTTTTAGAGTCTTTTATGTCTCGACCAGGGATCGAACCCCCGACCTTCCTATCACAGGGCAGACACTCTAGTCCACTGAGTTGGTCAAAAACTGCATCATTAGACAGCATAATACCTGCTGGTTTAAAGTTAGTCAACGTTAACCACTAATGCTGTGTTTCATGAAAATATAATTAATTGAAGGGCCATTCCGATTCAAGTCACTGTTCCATGATGAGTGGACCAGCGGCCATATTGAATGTACCCATTCCAGGAAGTAAAATCAGGAAGTTCATTCTATTTCTATCGGTGTGTTTCTCTCGTCAGAGCGGAGGCTGTGACGCTGAATGCAGACTGCCTGCAGCTGTCCTACCTGCCGTCCAAGAGGAACCACATGCTGCTGCTCTACCCCAGAGAGATCCTCATCCTGGACCTTGAGCTCAGCCAGACCGTGGGTGTGGTGGGCATTGAACGCTCCGGGGTGCCCTTTTTTCAGGTGGGACCCAACACACATATACTCACATTTCAGTCTCACCTCAACCTACCCTCACCTCAATTAAACCCCTGTGCAGTCTGTATTATAATTTTTTATGGTACTTTAGAAATATATATATTTTTAGGTCCTTTGAAATATTGACGATTCTGCTGCAAAACCAATTTCCTCTCTGGGCATGATCAATTTTTTTACTTGGAAAAAACACAGATGCAGTGCCTTTGGAAAGTATTCATACCCTTTGACTTATTCCACATTTTGTTACAGCCTGAATTCAAAATAGATTGACCCATTTTTCACACAATACCCCATGATGACAAAGGGAAACATGTTTTTAGAAATGTTTGCAAATTTATTGAAATTAAATACAGAAATATCAATTTACATAAGTATTCACACCCCATTTGCTATGACACTCCAAATTGATTTCTGGTCCATCCAATTTCCTTTGATAATCTATGAAATGTCACTACAACTTCATTGGAGTCCACCTGTGGCCAATTCAATTGTTTGGACAGGATTTAGAAAGAAACACACCTGTCTAGATAAGGTCCCACAGTTGACAGTGCATGTCAGAGCAGAAACTATACAATGAAGTGCAAGGATCTGTCCATAGATCTGCCTAGAGTTGGCTGTCCGACCAAACTGAGCAACCGGGCAAGAAGGGCCTTGATCAGGGAGGTGACCAAGAACCCAATGACCACTCTGACAGAACTACAGTATCAGTTAAAAGTTTGGACACACCTACTCATTCAAGGGTTTTTCTTTATTTTATTTTTTACTATTTTCTACATTGTAGAATAATAGTGAAAACATCAAAACTCTGAAATAACACATTTGGAATCATGTAGTAACCAAAAAAGTGTTAAACAAAATATATTTTAGATTCTTCAAATAGCCACTCAGCAGCAGTGACTGGGAGACTGGTAAGGAGAGAGGGAACAATGAATTAATCCAAATGCATGCAAATCCTTAATGAGAACCTGCTTCAGAGTTTAAATGACCCTAGACTGGGGCAAAGATTTACGTTACAACAGGACAATGACCCCAAGTATACAGCCAAAGCAGCGCTGGAATGACTTCAGAACAAGAATCTGAAAGTCACTGAGGGGCCCAGCCAAAGCCCATACTAGAATCCCATTGGAAAAACTGTGGAAAGACTTGAAGATTGCTGTTTACCGCCACTCCCCATCTAAGTTAACAGAGCTTGAGAAAATCTGCAAGGAAGAATGGAACAAAATCCTAAAATCCAGATGTGCAAAGCTAATAGACATACCCAAGACGACTCAAAGACTGTAATCGCTGCCAAAGGTGCTTCTAAAATAATAATTGTCGGAGCTGTCTGAGATTTAAGCGCAAATGCATCAGGGTATTGCATGCATGTATGCCTAGGCGTCCACTGTATATTCATATTTAAAAAATTAATATAAAGGAAGAGAAGCTAAGGCCTAGCCCTAGAGAGACCGAAAGATAGATGGCGATATGCCGGTTGAATGTTCCCAACACCGACATATATTTCTTTATCCTTGTCAGATAGGCTACTACTGTGATAGAGATATATAGCGTACTTAAGGAGGCTAATTAGTCCGTTTTCGATGTGTATATATATTTTTTTATTAGGATAAGCATTATATTGTTAGATTAAAGGAACTCTGGTAGGCCTAAAACACTCTTCCTCACCTCAAGTTCAACTGTGGGAGTCTGCTAGAGCACCGATGTGCACTGCCTTCACAGGCCTGCAGTAGCTAAGCCTGATAATAGCCATACCCCACCAAACCTTCACACACATTTCTTAATTTTATTAGAGTAATATCAAAAGTCAAGTCATACAAACAGGTTATTATATTGCGTCTCACCCTATTTGTTTGTTCCTTTTCATGGTTTGAGTGCGAGTAGCCCTATGGAGCAAACACGACATTACAGTTGGAACTTTGACGACATCCGGTTGGTGTGTTACCGGTATTTCGATTTGTTTGTTTTAGCCTAATCTATGGCACTTTATTTCATTGTATCGTTTTACTATCTTATACTCACACGGTTTTAGTTCCAACTCATAGCCAACTCCACACCGGGCTCTGCCTGCTCTTGGCCATGACTAGTATAGACTACCTGTCCCTGGAGGATCACCAACAAGCTCGCGTTGTGGTTAGCCCTTATGGCTGGGACTGCTCCAACCTGACCCAAGCTTGGATTGCCAGGGCGAATACAATCATGAGCTTCCCTGCCCAGATGAGAGTTATGGGATGTGGGTCATGCAACATGATTACTGTTGTAAAAACGGAGGACTTTGTGGCTGCTTTTATGTGCACAAAATTCACCCAGACCTTCGATTGTAATTTGGCAAGGAGTGCTACCTGCTCCACAAGGCTGGTAAATTCGACAGTGGCATTAGCTGAGGCATCGGCCAAAAACAACACTGAGGCACCCTTCTCACCACCAGCCCAGACCACCGGCCCATCTGCTAAGGCACACCCCCCAACCGTGGCCGGTTCCACCCCCGTCCACTGGAGTCAGTGGAAACAGGTTGGTTGTAAGGGCAATGAGAATCACCGCCTGCTACCACTACCATTACGCCCAGCGCTGCGGCTGTCCAACACATTCAATGCCCTCAGTCGGCTCTCATCGGAGCGTTCTCCCGCTCCCAATTCATCTCCACCGGACACAACTGCTGCTACTCTTGTGGTTACGGGACGTCTCCCTCACCAATGCTGCGCTCGGGCCCACGGCTGTGCGCTGTTTTCCTGGAGCTCGAGTTTTGGATGTAAACAATCACTCTCCAGCTGGATAACTACCTAAATCTGAGTACCATTTATAGTACAAATGACACTTCCCTCCAGCAGTCTGAGGTTTTAAAGCAGCATTCTAAGACATTGATTAACACATTGGAAGCCAGCGATAAGAGATTGATCATTTCTGGCCCCCAACCGTGCTACAAGCGTGGCATCAGCCTTTCTAATTTGAATGACTGGCTGAAGGGACATTGCATTTTAAGGAGGATTAATTCCCTTTATCAACAACTTTGACCTCTTTTAGGAACCCCCTGCTTTCTTTAAGCGTGATGGACTTCATCCAAACTGCAGAGGCAAAACAAAATGGAAAGTTTTTTACTCCATTGACTCTCTACAGTGAGGGAAAAAAGTATTTGATCCCCTGCTGATTTTTTAAGTTTTCCCACTGACAAAGAAATGATCAGTCTATAATTTTAATGGTAGGTTTATTTGAACAGTGAGAGACAGAATAACAACAAAAAAATCCAGAAAAACGCATGTCAAATGTTATGAATTGATTTACATTTTAATGAGGGAAATAAGTATTTGACCCCCTCTCAATCAGAAAGATTTCTGGCTCCCAGGTGTCTTTTATACATGTAACGTGCTGAGATTAGGAGCACACTCTTATAGGGAGTGCTCCTAATCTCAGCTTGTTACCTGTATAAAATAAACCTGTCCACAGAAGCAATCAATCAATCAGATTCCAAACTCTCCACCATGGCCAAGACCAAAGAGCTCTCCAAGGATGTCAGGGACAAGATTGTAGACCTACACAAGACTGGAATGGGCTACAAGACCATCGCCAAGCAGCTTGGTGAGAAGGTGACAACAGTTGGTGCGATTATTCGCAAATGGAAGAAACACAAAAGATCTGTCAATCTCCCTCGGCCTGGGGCTCCATGCAAGATCTCACCTCGTGGAGTTGCAATGATCATGAGAACGGTGAGGAATCAGCCCAGAACTACACGGGAGGATCTTGTCAATGATCTCAAGGCAGCTGGGATCATAGTCACCAAGAAAATAATTGGTAACACACTACGCCGTGAAGGACTGAAATCCTGCAGCGCCCGCAAGGTCCCCCTGCTCAAGAAAGCACATATACAGGGCCGTCTGAAGTTTGCCAATGAACATCTGAATGATTCAGAGGAGAACTTGGTGAAAGTGTTGTGGTCAGATGAGACCAAAATGGAGCTATTTGGCATCAACTCAACTCGCTGTGTTTGGAGGAGGAGGAATGCTGCCTATGACCACAAGAACACCATCCCCACCATCAAACATTATGCTTTGGGGGTGTTTTTCTGCTAAGGGGACAGGACAACTTCACCGCATCAAAGGGACGATGGACGGGGCCATGTACCGTCAAATCTTGGGTCAGAACCTCCTTCCCTCAGCCAGGGCATTGAAATGGGTCGTGGATGGGTATTCCAGCATGACAATGACCCAAAACACACGGCCAAGGCAACAAAGGAGTGGCTCAAGAAGAAACACATTAAGGTCCTGGAGTGGCCTAGCCAGTCTCCAGACCTTAATCCCATAGAAAATCTGTGGAGGGAGCTGAAGGTTCGAGTTGCCAAACGTCAGCTTCGAAACCTTAATGACTTGGAGAAGAGCTGCAAAGAGGAGTGGTACAAAATCCCTCCTGAGATGTGTGCAAACCTGGTGGCCAACTACAAGAAACGTCTGACCTCCGTGATTGCCAACAAGGGTTTTGCCACCAAGTACTAAGTCATGTTTTGCAGAGGGGTCAAATACTTATTTCCCTCATTAACAGCTAATCATGGCTACCCGGACTATTTGCACTGCCCCCCCACCCCATCCTTTTTACGCTGCTGCTACTCTGTTAAGTAAGTATTTATGCATAGTCACTTTAACTCTACCCACATGTACATATTACCTCAACTACCTCAACTAGCCGGTGCCCCCGCACATTGACTCTGCAACGGTACCCCCCTGTATATATAGCCTCCCTACTGTCACTTTATTTTACTGTATATATAGCCTCCCTACTGTCACTTTATTTTACTTCTGCTGTTTTTTTCTCAACACTTTTTTTGTTGTTGTTTTATTCTTACTTTTTTTGTTTAAAATAAATGCACTGTTGGTTAAGGGCTGTAAGTAAGCATTTCACTGTAATGTCTGCACCTGTTGTATTCGGCGCATGTGACCAATAAAATTTGATTAGATTTGATTTGATTTGACATGTATTTTTCTGGATTTTTTTGTTGTTATTCTGTATCTCATTGTTCAAATAAACCTACCATTATAATTATAGACTGATCATGTCTTTGTCAGTGGGCAAACATACAAAATCAGCAGGGGATCAAATACTTTTTTCCCTCACTGTATATCACCTATATAAGGACTCCCGAGTGGCGCAGCGGTCTAAGGCACTGCATCTCAGTGCTTGAGGCGTCAACTCACCGTGATTGGGAGTCCCATAGGGCGGCGCACAATTGGCCCAGCATCGTCCGGGTTTGGCCGGTGTAGGTCGTCATTGTAAATAAGAATTTGTTCTTAACTGACTTGCCTAGTTAAATAAAGGTTAAATAAATAAATAAAATAAATAAATCACCCACTGATTTCTCGACCAAGCCACTCTAACCAGGTCTCCCGTTATACATTCTATCCAGACAGTCTTTTCTAGATGCATTACCAGATCATCATCTGCCAGAATATGCCCTGGTAATCTCATAGACTCATCACCTGTGCTTGACTTGGGATGGAAGAAGTACAGAAGCTGTCTTTTTCCAAGTCAGTCCATTAGACAATGTTATCCGAAATTCACAAATGACATTATGCAATTTTCCATGACTTCTCCATGACCTTGGACCAAATTTCCATGACTATTATTATAGCCTACATGAAAAAGAAAGCACTATTGACACTGGAAAGCTGTTATGTCTGATCCCATGTAGACTAACCACCTCCTGCCATTGTGCCCTTGATTAAGGCACTTAGCCCCCACATAGAACTGCCTTGTTAGTGACATGTTGTCAATATGTGGTCAACCCTCCATCTGGGGAGCTCCTGGGTGTGCAGGCTTTTTCAACATTACAACCAAATACTTTTGTCTTTTTATAAAATGATTCCCTCATTCAATAAATCAGGGATCAAATGAATAAGGTAGGCTACTTCAAAGCAAGGTATCTAACTAGACATGTTTATATATCAGGCTCAAATATTCATTGTTTCGGGGGAGATCTAATCACAGCAAGTTATTTGTCAATTAGACTATTCTTCTAATATTTTTTACGTTGTCGCAATTACATGGCTTCTGTTTAATAGAGGGGAATCCCAGCTTTCCAACGGTGCAGATTTGTTTAGGCTCTGCAGTGCATGTGGAAAGGCAACAACGAAATGAATGCTTAGTTAGCTATAGTTAACTAGCGAGAACTGCTACTAGTTATGTTTTGAATTGGTGATCTAGTTATTCTGTCTGTCATTATTTTATACCTGCTGCTGAAATGTCATGCTCGGCCCACTCGCACTTGCACACGCAGCACCACAGACATGCACCGAATGGTCATTCCGATGATGGCTGATATGTAGTTTTTTATTGATTGATCACATTTAAAAGTGTGCTATCATGAATTACATTAACAACAATTATGAAACTAATTTCCATGACTTTTCATGACCTTACAAACCCTAATTTGACAACTTGGAACAGCGCATCCTACCATTCAGGCTGGCAGATTTTCAATTTGCGCGATCTCGAACAGCCTACTGTCACTCACAGACTAGCGGCAAATAAACTTGAACAAAGTGGAATCAGGAAATGAATGCCCCCTCTCCATTGCTATTCAATGAAGATCCCGCATTTAGGTCTTAGAGAATGTCCCTCAGCCCCTTGGGCTAGGCCCCTTAGTTCCAGTGAAGGGCAAACTTAACGCTACAACATACAATTACATTTCCCCCGTGTACAAATTGAGGTCCATACAGAAATGGTTTGTTGATCGGTGTGGAAGATCTTAACTGGCCTGCACAGAGCCCTGACCTCAACCCTCCGACTGCGAACCAAGTCTAATCGCCCAACATCAGTGTTCGACCTCTTGTGGCTGAATGGAAGAAAGTCCCCGCAGCAATGTTCCAACATCTAGTGAAAAGCCTTCCCAGAAGTTTGGAGGTTGTTATAGCAGCAAAGGGGGGACCAACTACATATTAATGCCCATGATTTTGGAATGAGATGTTCGACGAGAAGGTTCCACATACTTTTGGTCATGTAGTGTTATTGACTCAAGACATTTCAGCTTTTCATTTTTAAATAATTTGTAAACATTTCAAAAAAAGTAATTCCACAGAGTTTATGGGGTTTTGTGTGTAGATCAGTGACACAACATATCAATTTAATCAATTTTAAATTCAGGCTGTTGCACAACAAAAGGTGGAAAAGGTCATGCAAGAGGTGTGAATACTTTCTGAAGGCACTGTAGGCCAGAAATAATGTTGATACTCACAGAAAGCAGAGACTCTCTTCTCTTTGTAACAACGTTAACAAATCAAATCAAATCAAATTGTATTAGTCACATACACGTGTTTAGCAGATGTTATTGCGGGTGTAGCGAAATGCTTGTGCTTCTAGCTCCGACAGTGCAGTAAT